AAAGAGACACAGAGATTTTCGCGATGGTCGTCGAAGGAGAGACAGAATCGCGCGACATGACAAGGAAATACTTTACGGGTGGTAGGTATGGTATCGGTATTTCTCAGCTCGTGGCCGTGTAATTATATGTTGACAACGCGAGGCACACATTGTACTCTGTATAGTATATATACGAACTATTAATGCGAAAATTTAATGGACCAGAGAATGCACTTCAATGCATTTATACGTGGTTTCACAGCGTGTTTCCGGTCAGTTGATCTCCTTCGTATCAATGTATTATTCGCGCTTCGATCGAGATCCTACTTGATCATCGAGATGCTGGCTTGCTTGTACTGCCCGTTTGTTCAGTATGTAATTCAAGGTGAACCAATTCCATTGATTGCGCTGATGAACATTTGAGCCAACGTCCGATTAAATTTCGCGATTCCCCGACTTCAAAATGCATCGAAAAATCACAACTGAGAATCTTATTATTAGGAAAATTTTAAATGCCAATATATTTATTATATACTTTGATCCGTAGATTGAAATATCTTAGTAGAAAATCCTAGGAATAAAATTAAGCTAGATTAATTAATTTTTAAATGCGCAATAGAGAGTGAAACTTTTTTCTTAAATTTTCAGATGCATATAATTTAACAAAACTTTAATTTATGAGTTATTTAAGAGAAATATTCTGATAATAATAGAAGAGAGATGAGAAACTGTTCAAGATATATTATTTAAAAAATTTTATTTAAAAAATTTCGGTTTTTAATTTATTAAAGAATTGAATTCCACTGCAAAGAAGATTTAAGATTTTTATTGAATAATTTAAACGTTTGTTGTAAATAAAATATAAAAGACTAGTAATGTAAAAAAACTAAAAAACATTGATTTGAACAATAATTCTGAATAAATATTCAGCATTGATTCTGAGTTAATGATGCAGTCTTTGGAAACTTTAGCGGAGAAGAAAGTGTAAAGCACAGGAAGTCATGTCAAGTTTCTGTTTTCTTGCGAAGAAAAATAAGATCGATACATCAATCTCACATCATCTGCTTTTTTTCACTGCGAAAAGGACCTTTTTTCATGTAAGCAAAGAATGTTATCGTTACGAAAGGTTATCGATACGAACCTCTCGGAGAGAAAGCGTAATGTCAACCTATCGAATTTTCAATACTTGTCCATTCGCTCGAGTATAGAAACTTCGTAATTACAAGTCGGTCGCAAGTCTCTTTGTGAGAGTAAATTGAAAATATTTTCAGAAAGGAAATGGAAAACAATTGGGAATGTATAGCAATGCTTTTTAATGACCATACATGCAAAAATTTAATTTAGTTAACACATTTTTTTAAATTTAGTTAACACATTGATAATATCAGTAGATTAATAACATATTGATAATAACAGTAACTTTTCATATCTCAAACAAATATTATTTTTTAAATAAAGATTTATTTAATTTACATTGTGATTAACAAAAAGATTGAAAATTCATGTTCTATTCATTTATCTTTATCATCTTTTTATTTTAATTGCGATTTAATCTCGATGAAATTTTAAAAATATGATATTCTTTTAATTAATAAATTTGTAATAATATTAATAATGTTAATAATAATATTAATAACCATGCACCTATAATAATTAATAATAATAGTTAGTAATCTAATCATTTTTTAAAATTTAAATTAGTATTAACATTAACAGATATTAAATTTGCTTTTTTGATCGAACAAAATAAATGATAGTGTAAAAATTAATAAATAATTCATTACACAATATTTGAACTTTGACTTTTTCATATCAAATGTCAATATCTGCTAAATGTCAATGAGCAATACTTTTCAATGTCTGCACTGAAAGAAAAGATTGGCTGTTGCAGCAAATTAGAAAATTCGTAAAATATGGCAATGTCAATACAGGATTTCGATAGGCTAATCAAAAATCGGCTGTTGCGATTAATTAAAAATGTTATGACATATTCAGTCAATCTTTTCTTTCAGTATGCCGCTGAAAATTCTATGAGCTTTCGTATAAAAGAATTTATTAAATTACTTGCTGTTTTTTTCTTTCTTGTTTTTTTTTTCCGCAAGTTAATCATGATTGGAAATGCCATATATAATTTAATATGTAAATATGTTTTGGATTAATATTTTCTTTAAACAAATATATATTAGATATCTAATAAACTATAATAACTCATTTTTGGAAAATAATTCGGAACATGAAAAATAAAATATTTGCATAAAGTCAAATTACAAAAAATTAAATATTTCAGAATAAGATTTTGTTCGACAGCATACAACGCGTTATTGTTTACCAAGATCGAAGCGTTATCATTCACGTGATAATATTTGAGTTAGCAGGTAATAGAATTGTTCCGTTTATTGTTGTATTATTATTCCTCACAATGATTCTCTACATAAAATTATCACTATTATCACATGGAATTGTTTATTATACCTTAGTTAACGTTGATAATGCTGTGCAGAATAATAATCGTGATTAATATTATAAATCTAAATGTAAACAAGCTTTTCGTGAATGTTAATTTGTGTAAGTGCAAGAAAAAATTTCATAGATAAGAAAGGCTTGTAAAAATTTGTAAAAAATAGATACCTATATCAGGTAATGACGAAGTAAAATGCTGTTGCGCTGCTGTATTGTATTATATATATAATGAATTAAACTATCTTTTAATTTAAAGTCTTTTAATCAAAGGATGTAATAGATTTATAAATATTATATGTAACATCTCATAAATTCATTTCCTTGAAAAGAATAATAACAATATTATTAATTATTAGAAGATAATTAAATATTTTTTATCTATAATATGTGTTTCAAACATTTTATTTATTCGCATAGATCATATGGCAAAAATATATAATTATATTAGGTGTTGGAATTAATTCGTAGCGTTTTACAAGTGATGGGAAGTACTTTCATTAATGTATTTTTTAATGCTCATGTGAAATAAATAACATTCTTTCATTAAAAAACGCTACGAATTAATTCCAACACCTAATATTTTATGTAAAATTCAATAATTATTCGTACGTGCTCTGTCATAATGAAAATGTTTACTTGCATAACTTTATACATTACTTTATGGTATTATAGTTAATTAAAACTTTCTGAATGTTTTGTTGTAGAAAATAAAATTCCATTTTTTCGCATTTATTAAAAAAATGTAAATATTGCATTGTATATTTAAATTTTGCATAAGATACTTTTAAAAAATTATTTTGAAAAGTATACATTATTAGTACACATTAATAAATGAATAGAAACTTTTTAATGAAATCGAATTTATAATAAAAATACATTAAATTCTAATTTAACTCTTTAATTATATTACATATAAATCAAAGCATTGAGATTACTGTTAAAAATCAATTTGTTATCTATTCAAATTGCATTACATTGCGTTTTAAATCGTGTTCTATAGTAATAATTGCTCGAGTCAGAGAGAGAGAGAGAGAGAGAGAGAGAGAGAGAGAGAGAGAGAGAGAGAGAAATGACATAAAATTTATTAACTAGAGATTTTTTATAAATCTAATTTTTTCTATTTCATAGAAGAAGAAATTCTTTTTAAACAATCGGAATACAATAGCTGCCAGATCTAATAAATTTGAATTCAATTATTATAAATCGTGTTATAAATGAATTAAATGAAAGAAAGAAGGACGGGATTTATTCCACGTATAATGTTTTTGATTAATATTTCATTCACACTTTTTTAAATATGAAATTCTGTAATAGTTTTTGTTTAATTTTTGTTGTGATGAATTAAGTCTACAAAAAGAGGAAAAAGGATTAAACACCTTTGTATTTTTGTTTACTTCTACTGCAAAAAACAAACTGCCTAAAAAACGAAACAAAGTTATTTAGATTTGTTATGAACAAAAGTTAATTAAATTTGTTACTTTCTTTTCTTTCTTATCTTAAAAAGTATTTTTCAGAAAAATTTGTTTCAAAAAGTGTGTATGATTAATACATACATATAATTAAATAAATACAAATTTTTTTTACGAAATCAGATTTAATAAAAATTAAAATATAATTTTTGTTTTTAATTTGTTAACATATAAATGTATTATAGTAATTCATATTACATATAAATGTATTATATATTAATAAAAGGCATTGAATTATTTATATATATTACCATTAAATTACTAAAAGATCAATTTATTATCTAGTTAAACAAATTATAAATCATAATATAATTACATAATGCGCTGCATTATAAATCATCTTTTGTAATAGCAATTACGTGTAGTAATTATAATAGTAGTTCATAATAATAATAATTATTATAGCAATACGGATTAGTCATGATATTTATTTTCTCATCTCTGGAGAATGTCCTTTAATGAATTGAAAGAATAGTAAGTGGCAGTTTTGTGAGGGAATTAAATTCAATTATTAAGCCATGTTAGATTGAAAAAAACAAAAATAGAGACAGAAAATCATCCTTACGTTTTCGTGTTTACATGTGGTTCAAAGTAAAACTGATCATTCTCATTACAGTAGTCGATAGATAGAACCATGAGACAGTCTACACATTCGGTAGAACAGTTAAGTTTGTTATTTTATCTTCTTTTTTTTCTTAAAAAGTATTTTGCAAAAAAGTTTATTTGAGAAATATATGTTATTAATTCATATTAATAAATAAATAGCTGCATTCAGCAATGAAAGCTAATCAATGAGTGCTCAGTGATTTAATATGATTGATTCTTGTTTTTAGTTTTTCGTTGGATGTAAGTAAGTGTAGCAATCAATCATGTTAAAAAATCACTGAGTGTTTACTGAGCTTTCTCTGCTGAATACAACTAATACAAGGTTAAAAAAATCGCATTTGATAAAAATTATTATATATAATAATTTTATTTTTTAATCCTTCAATCATTACATAGAAATGTCACGTAAAAATCAAGGAGACATGAAATGATTTATATTATTATTAAAATATCCATTTCTTATCCATTTAAATAAATAGTATTGCGATGTATTATGAATTATCTTTTGTAATAATTGCTTAGGCCAAAAATAATACAAGCAGTTTTAATTTGTCGCAACTACGGATTATTCATGATACTTATTTTGCTCTTATCTAATAGATGAAGATATCCTTTAATTGATTAGAAGACAGTAGATGCCGGTTCTGCGAGGAAATTAAATTGAATTATTAAGTCATGTTAAATTAAAAGAAAGAAGTAGAAACAAAAAGTCATTCTCACTTTTTCTTGTCTACATGCGGTCCGAAGTAAATCTGGTCATTTTCTTGGCAGTATTGGTAACGCAAGAACAACATACAATCTTCGCATTTTGTGGCTAAATATTTTGTTTCGTTTCTCACGGCATTAGCATACCATTGTATTGCTTTAACGTGGCTGCAGTCTAATGCAGAAGAATGCATATAAAGTGATAAATATTAACAGTTCCACTTTACATTGTGATTCATATTCGCATATGTACATACACTATGTCCATTTGAATTTTTATTGGACATAACATATTGTACACAATCTTTTAATTACACGTGTACACAAAAATTTGATTAGTACAATTCTTTTAATATAAAAACATCTAGGCATTTTTTTAAGAAAATTTACATTATTAAAATACTTTACTTTTGTTAAAACATTTTACAAATGATCATATTTAGTGTTAAGTATAGTGTACAATAAATAGAACGAAAGAATGTTAAAAAAAGGATAAGAAATTTTCTCATTAGAATGTCAAGATATGCGAAATTGAATTACCATGTATATCCATTAGTGATGAAGTATTTGAATAACAGCCAGGTTGGGGTGCTGTTCCGGAATTGGCGTAAATATTAAGATTGCCTACATTTTGCTCAGTAGAAAGAGCACCACGATTTGTGTAAAAAGCATCCGTAAAATGTGCAACTGTCGGATTCATTTCACAACCTTTGTAGAAGCCATTGTAAAATATAACTGCCGCGGGATCTAAACCTGTTTTTAATGATACATGTAATAAATTGGTATAATATTCTAATAGCGTTTTCGGCTCGACCGAGTTTGCACTAACCTGGGTTGAAGTAATGTTTCGTGCTGTCCTATTGGTAGAGCGTGTAACGTAAACCAATAGCGAAATATTTTTCTAACCCAAGTTGGTGCAAACCAGGCCGAAAACACTATAACTTTCATTATATGAAAATCTTTATTAATAAATTGGCCTTTCTAATAATAGATGCGTCTTAATATAACTTCAAGAATACATTTACTTATTAATGAGCATATATGTAACATAATAATGACATATTTTTATGTTTATTAAAACATTAACTTTTTTATTCATAAATATGATTTTAAATTGTAGAATTTATAAAACTGTCTTATAAAGATTATTTCAAAACAAAATAATTATATAAATACAAAAAATAATAATAATAAAATAATATTATTTGTCACGATACACAAATGTTTTTAATTTTTCGTAAAATTAGTCAGAATTTGAAACTATCAATGTCTTTGAATAAATTTTAAAGAAGATTAAAAAAGATTTTAAATTTTATAACAGTTTCTTAATCGATAAAATGAACTAAAAAAAGTAAAACGAAAATTAAGCAAATAATGATTTTTTTATAACATACCTGTAATATGTGAAAAAGTAAAATTACTGTATGTTCCAATGCAAGCTGCAATGTGAACACCCATGGAATGTCCAATTAGATGCCATTTTGCTATTTCGTATCCTTTATCATTTAAAGAGTTAAAAGTAGATGCGGTTATCTGTGCGATTTGCTCTATTTGAGTAGAAAGTAATATTAGGTCTCTATTTATCAAATAGGACCAGTCGAGTATTGCAATGACAGAGTTATTTTGTGAACAATAGGCTAAAAAATTAAAATATTGTATTCATCAATTTTTTTCTGTTAGCATATATTAATATCATCTTACTGCTTTTTATTAATTTAATTCAATGTTTAATTTAATGTTTTTTTATTAACTTATATATATATATAT